CTTTGTACATGGACTATTCAAAACAAATACTCAATATTTGCATGCACAAATCTTTATTTAAAATGCTTCACTGAGAAATATGACTTTTGTATGTGAATTACAATAGTAATTGAAAGACTGCCAAATTTCGTGAAGATTTATCCACAAAATTGAGAGTTATAAGTATTAAATCTATACAAACTTTAAACGAGTCCAAAAGGTCACATGGTCAGTCAAATCGATTGAGATTGAATTGAAAGTGTTATTTGTATTTTCTGAATCTATGAGCATTATAACATGAAATAATCAAAAATATACTAAACTTACGACTGAATGATGTAAATTACATCAATTGTTCATTATTGTTTGTAAACTATGTAAAAATCTTACATATTGAGTTTAAATGGACATAATTTGTATGAAAGCAAATCCAGTAATTTATAAACTATGATGCTTATAGTACCTGAAGTTTTGTTAAGTATGTATGATAGCATATTAGGCTATAACGAAACATGAGTTTTATATATGAACACTGAATTTCATAATTCATGTTACAGAAACATTGTTTCAAAATATTTGAAATAATCATTTGATTTATAACTAAAGGTCCTTTTATGCTTGTGTTCATTTGAACATTTGGAAACTAATAAGTTTAAATAACGTTTTGAAAAATGCGGAAAAAAATGTCTACTTTTTAGAAACAAAAGAGTTACTTAATTTAGGTGAAAACAAGGTCAAACTTTCTAATCTTGTCATCATTAATACATGACTATGTGATGACCTTTATATATCCTTACAAACAGCTGTCCTGACGTTAGTGTCCACCCATTTGTATGTGTGACAACCTTTGTATTTCGTAACAAAAAGTAGTCTTGACATCAGACAGTCTCAAAGTTTATGTATAGTATATCAAGTAAATAGTAAGTGTTGCTATTTTAAATAATAGTAAATTTAAACAACAAGTCGTTCATTTATTATATTTAGTTGTAGCAAAATAAGTGTCATTCTCAGGACACTAAAAGTATGTAAAGTAAATTTTTGGATATAATAACTACCTCATTCAAATAGTGGATAATAAAAACTGATGTATGTTATAATAAATGTCTCGTTGACTTGTGAAAGTGAAAGAGCAGGTTTCCTGTGGAACATTGTCTGCTAAGATAACATTATCCTTAGAAATGATAACATCTTTGGCCCATAGAAACACTGTAAAAAGTACGTAAGTGAAATAACAATAAAAATCACAGTTATATGTGTAGCATAAAGACAAACTAGTGAAAGTGCATGCTATTTAAATAAGCGTCCTTTTCAGGACATAAATTGTAAAAAGTATGCTAAAACATAGAAACTAAAACTATAACCAGTATGTTAATTAAATCAAAATTCACTGTGTATTTTCTTGTCCTTAATCGTAAGAAGCAACAAATTGAAATATTTTGTTAAATGGATAGTATAAAGGGCAGAAAATGTAAAAAAGTATGGTTAAATATAGAACTAATAAATTAGTGAAGTGCGTTATACATAAAATGACTGTCTTAGTTTCAGAACATAATTAAATCTAACCATTGATTACTGGTTGAGACATCTATGTTGATCTCACCGTGATTGTGATTCCACTTTATGGAGGTCATATTCAATTGTCATGGTGGCCTAACTATGTGCCCGTGGCAAAACGTTCTCGGGTACCACTACCTGGACGTCATCGGTTTTGGTGACATCATCTTCTGATGTCATTGCCTGTGGTCGACATACATTTTGCGCCATCTGCCTTCTTAACTATAATCCAACACTATAAATACAGACATCGCTGAAACTAATTTAATGGATCTTTGTTTCTTCTTAAGGTATTCTTGTTACCGAAGAACAGTGCTTACAGCTTGCAATTTCCCCCGAAAAAGCATATAGTGAAATATCTAGCCAAGCTGGAGTGACATCTGATGATAGAACAGTCAGCGACAGAGGCCATGTAAATGAATTTGTCCAACCTAATTTAAATTCACAATTTATAAAGGTATGTTTTATATTCAGATACTTTTATACCTAAATATGAAAAAGTCATGTTTTGATTGCTCCAACAAATTTATAATTACCCATTCCTAGCATGTGTTTTGGTATTTGTTAAAAGAAGTTTATTCATATGTGTACGTATCATGTAAGTTTCTATTCGCTTACTGAAAAGCATGAAAATCAATTTTCATCTTAAATCTGAAGTATCTGATTGATATTTCTTAAGATCTAATATTCATAGTTGAAGGCTTTAGCTACAATGTCCTTTCTCTAGTTTTAAAACAGGTGCATGTTAGGCTGTCTGTTTTGGTGCATAATTAATTAAACGTGTCTCACCAAAGCTACTATGATACTAAAATACCAGATGCCCCATTCAAAGATTAACTGCAGATGAGCCATGAAACCCATAGTGATATCATAATATTTTCTGGAAAGAGCTTTTGATATATATGGTATATTAAGAAAACACGTTTATACTTTTAAGAAATACGAGACACAACCATTTCTTTAAACCTAAAGCAAAATCCAGTAAATAGTCGAAACTACATATAGTTTGATTGTTGCTATTATTAAATTCATACAATGTATTGTTAGCCTTCGATATTAATATTAGTGTATTTGTTTGTTATTTTTACTCCCCTTTGCTTTTCGAGCCTGAATGGATAAATTAAGAGGAATATGGAAGAGAACATCTACAGCCAACTTGTCTTTATACCAAACTGTGTGCGCTATTTGAAGAAAGATATAAATTTTGTATGAATCGTATCTATAACATTAATTTTTGTTTTTGAAACACATGATAAACAGAATAAGTTTAATGTAAAAACTGACCATCTGATAATTATTACATCGTTACTTATTAACTCCTAGTAGTGGAATTGCATACTGTGTAAGTAGCGATAAGTTCTAAGTAGTGTCACCATTATTTTACATGGCTTATATATCTATGTATATTGTTATCTAACAGATGCATATGTTGAAAAAATGAACAGCTTTATATTATAAAAATGTTCTTTTTAGTAGGTTATAAAACATTCTGACGATTAAACTTGTCAAACCACAAACAAGCATTAATGCGAGTTTTATGATTATCTTTTACCGTTACATTCTGTAATTAATTTTGTTTATGAATTTTCAATGTCAAAACAGCTTTAAATTCATTTTTACATCAATCCAATTAATAATTTTATAAAACTAATGTTATTAGCTCATTAAATTTAATGTTATCCTCCTTTTTCGTGTTACAAATTATATTATATTTTGTTTCGTAATTATACCATTTATCGTCTCTTTTTCGTTATGAAATAAAAATCTTGTACGTGTTAAATTAGTTAAGATGACCAAAGTATCACAGAAAATTATAAAAAAGTATTTATGAAACCTGTGAGATTGTTAATTTCACCCACACTATAATGTGTTGCACCTGTGTGAACCTAGTGTCTCTTACAGTATTGAGCAGACTTGGTGAAGTCTTAGTTTGCGATGCGATATTGCAGTAAAGACTGGCTTATTGATGAGAAACATCTATGTCAGTCTAATGAGATGCTACGATAATTTCGGACAGTTTAAGCGTAACCTCATGTACATATCTTTTAAGGTTATAACTGAGAAGATTGCATCATCATTTTTCCTGTACATCTTTACTATATAATGCTTTCCCCTTTATTTTCTTCAAATATCAAATTATATTAGTAACAGGAAATACGTATGCATACATTACTACTTTACATATGTTGCACACCAGTGGCACAGCGGTATGTCTGCGGACGTACAACGCTAGAATCCTGGATGGTGGGAAGAGCACAGATAGCCCATTGTATAGCTTTGTGCTTAATTACAAACAAAGAATTACATAAGTTAAACAATAGAAACATTAAATGTTTTATTGAACCTAGAGATAGCGCAAAATGTTCTTAAAATACTAATATTTCTTATTAACAAAAATGGGTTATATAGTGAATAGGTTATATAGTACCCTAAGCAATTTTGTTTGTAATTTTCGTACTTATTCTTACTGTTTTCCTTAGCACAAATATACACAATGTTATACCTTCGATTTATCTACTGTTGGGAATCGAACCCCGGATTTTAGCGTTATAAGACTGTACACTTATCACTGACCCACCAAACATTTTGTTATTCTCACATATTATTGAAGTTTTTGGATATGATAACGTACATTTTGAACAAGTTATATTTTATAAAAAACAAGAAATCACTTAGTGGTTAAGGATTGAAACACAAACAAAAACTCCCCGTTCTTCAGTATTTTCTATTATGTAAAAAGTTCAGGATGAAGAAATCATTAGTGGTTAAGGATTGAAACACACAAACAAAAACTCCTCACTCCTTCAGTATTTTCTATAATGTAAAGACTTCAGGATGAGATATTGGCGTAGGAGCTTTAAAATCAATCCAAAATCATATTTACATGTATTAGAATAAATGTGGTTTATGAATGTCTTTTTAATACCCGTAGAATGTCTTTCTTAGATGTTCTGGAAAGAGTTATATAAAAACTTTGAAATAAATAACGTTTTATTACCATTTGATAAATAATAAACGGAGAAACGTTTAATTCACAAAGTTTATTTAATGATTTAATTCAAATAAACGATCTCAAATGCTCATTGATTCTGATCGCTATACGTAGATCTACAGAAACTGTAGTTTACTGCTGCAATTGTGAGTGGCAATAAACGCAAAGAATATTCATGCATTTGAAAGCATTAATCGAATTTCTTCGACATTTATGTCATTTACATGTGTAGCCTTCTTATTTTCAGTCAAACACGTTTAACTAAAAATATCCAACGTAGACGTATAATGTAAATATTATTGTTGTGACGATTAGTTTAATGGTTTTATATATTTCGATTATATTTAGTTAATTTATTTGTATTTTGTTATCAAAGTATGTGCATGATAAGGGCATGAGCTTCAAAAACAATTATAATGTTTAAATTAAATTTCTTTTTCCATAATGCCTTCATTAAGGGATTTGGTTTTCATTACATTATATTGTTCTTGTTTCTTGATATCTTTTAAGCAAAAGACGCCTTTTAAATCAGTTTATGCTTATAAGAATTTTGTTTTATATAGTTTTTTAAACACAATTAAACTAAAAGACGTAAAACCATTCCATGTTTCTAGTAATATGATTTCACCTAAAAAACCTTTAGAAGTCGATAACTTTTAATGTAGTTACTAAATTATCACAGAAAGTCAGATTCCCTAATGATATCTTTTTTATTCGTTTTTGAAATAGTTGTGAAAACTGTGACATGCACATATGCAATTTGTGGTGTCAGCAATGTGTATTATGAGCACACTACTGTTATTATTTATAACTGATATTTTATCTTTTCAACTAAAACAAACCTTCTTCAAGCTGCGTGGGTCGTTAGGCGGGTTTTATTTTTAAGCAATCAAGGATTGTTTGTTCATTTGCTTCGAACACACAATCACAGCTATACAAGGGCTAGCATTCCGTAAATATGAAGTGATAGACTAAAGTGCTGACAGATAGTCAATAGCACCCATCGCCAATTCTTGGGCTACGTAAATCACTAACTCACCCACAACCCCAAAGTGTGGAGTGGGACTGTGTGGCAACGGGATCCGAACCCAACTCCTAGATTCAGAGTCCGGTACGATAATCACTGGGCCACGTCCAAGCCAAAGAATAAATGATATTATTAACCTAAACGCAGAGTACAAACGATTAGAAATAATTTTCCTTATAGTACATAGTTGTTAATGCCCTCCAAATGTTGACATATTAGTATGAGTCAATGATAACCTTCTGTTTTTTTGTATATTTTTTTGGGTTTGTATACTTATTTATCAAACTTATTTCCAATAAATCTATCAATAAATTAAAGAAATAGGACAGCACGATATATGTAATTCACCTATACAACCGTAAAGATCAATGGTCTTCATTAGGTGTCTATATAAATCTGTAGATGAATGGATTTCATTAGGTTTATATGCAGCATTAGAGATGAATGGTCTTAATAAGATATCTGTGAAATGTTAAGGATGAATAATCTTCATCAGTTATCTCTACAAGGTCAACAAACTTAAGAATAAGTGGTCTCCATCAGGTGTATATGCAAGAATAACGATAAATGGTCTTATTCAGTTGTCTATAAAAGGTTAAGGATAATTTTCATCACGTTTCTACACAAGATTAAGGATGAATAGCCTTCATGAGGTGCCGATACAACGTTAAGGATGAATGATCTTCATCAGTTGAATATAAAATGTTAAGTATGAATGGAATTCAACAGTTGAGTATAAAATATTAAGGATGAATGATCTTCAATTGGTCTTCATACAACATTTGAGATGAATAGTCTTCAGGTATCTATACAAAGTTAAGGATGAATGGTTTTAATCAGGTATGTAGGCAAGACCAAGGATGAATGATCTTCATCAGGTATCTGTACAATGTTAATGATGAATGGTCCTCATCAAATGTTTATAAAACGATAAGAATGAATCTATGGAACTTTAAGTATTCATCAAGGGTTTGTACATGGTTAAAGATGAATGATCTTCATCACATGTCCATAAAACGTTAAGGATCAATGATATTCATTAGTGATCTATATAACATTAAATATGAATTGCCTTCATCAGGTGTCTATACAACGTTAAGGATGAACGGCCTTCATTAGAAGTATTCACCAAATGAAGGGCGAATGGTCTTCATCAAATGTCTGTAGGATGAGTGGTTTTCATAAGTTGTCTAAACAACATTAAGAATGAAAGGTCATCATCAGGTGTCAATACAACATTAAGAATGAAAGGTCATCATCAGGTGTCAATACAACGTTAAGAATGAATGGTCTTGATCAGGTATCTAAACAGTATTAAGGATAAATGGTCTTCCTCAGGAGTCTGTGCAAACTAAGAATGCATGGTATTCATCAAGTATGTTACACAAGGCTAGTGGTGAAAGTTCTTCAAGAAGTGACTATGCAAGACTTAGGATTC